TTTTTAATATGAGTCAACAAACTAGATGACATGGCCTTTGACCCATGACCCATCTGGAGAGGGTTAAATTCTTACTTGCTGAATATTATCGTTAAGCTTATCATATTCAAACAATGCACATAAACAAAGGATTTTATATTTTATTGAAAACAATGCATATAAACAAAGGAACTTATAATTTATTGAAAATATTGCATATTTATTAGATATAAATTGATTCTGACTAAGAATATTATCTACTCTAACCTGACACAATTTTGAAAGTTGAAGTTGTAGGTCACAAATTATGACTTAGAGCAGATAATGGTGACAATCAGTAAAATTGTGTTAAAAAATATTTTAATGAAAATAAAGTTGCATTTGACTGGAAAAATAAAACTTTCTGATCAATAATAAAAACAACTGAAAAAAGAAGGCAAAAAAAGAAGTATTTTTAAAGGGTTTTTTCAAAGAAACTTGCAAAACATTTTGAAAATTTCATCACATAGAATACAATGGAAAACTTAATCAAATCATATGAATTTGTTTAAATTAAAACTAGATACTATTTACTATGCTTGAAACATTTTTCATGCAATACAATTATTTCCACTGTGACAAAGGAAAAAATCAACTAATATCAATGACATCCTCCCAGTCTAGAAAGGGTTCAAGCAAAGTTATTTTGAATTAAAAGATAACTCAGACAAATACTTCTGCAGTTATTTCTTTTATTAAATTTTGGTTTGTAGTGTGTTGGTAGGTTTTTAACAAATACAAGTTTTAGCTGTCAAACACCTGGGTGGAATGAAAAATGTTGACATTTGAAAAGAGCAACTACATCTGTCAAAATTCATCCAAGAATAAAATAATTTACTAGCTTAATTCAATAATTAGATTTATATTGAACATACACATAAACACTGCGCTCAAACTACTTTAATCCGATAACCACCAGTTACTAACTTTCTGAGTAGCCAATGCAAGTCTTGCTATATTTCATTCCAACAATAAAACTAGTAAATGAAATTGTTTGAAACTTCATAAGAACTTTCATAACTGCACGTAATTTAAGAAATATAAAGCTTGTTTCTTTTGATCAATTTAATTTTTTGGCACTATGATCTTTAATATTTTAAAAAATTACATTAGGAAATGGTATTTATAAGAAATGATTACGATATTTATATTTGTTCTAGATTTGAACTTATTACTTTTTATGTTTCAGTAGATTATTTTAAAATCCCTGCAAATTTTGTCTATTTTTAATTTTTTAATAATCACATACTCTCCTTATGGTTTCAAGTAATATACAAGACCTGAAAATAATATTTCTAAGTAAACCTAAACAATAAACAAGTATTTTTATTTCAAGTTTATGTTTATGTTTCATTGCAGCCATACTTTTGTTTATTGTGCTGAATAAACTGTTAGACTAACAACATGAACTTCGTACATTTGCCATAAACTATCATGCCTGTTGGTGGTCATTCTCATTCAGTCCAGTGCAGGTGCATTTCAACATTACTGTAGATATGGTAGTAAGAAAGCTTTTCGGTACTTGAATATAATTTCTTTGAACTTTCAAACAAGTTTATTTCAACATATGTCCTTGTATGTTGTTTCACTATACAGACAAAACTAATTGTTTGAATAACACTGCCTGACCCTAGTTACTTTGTACATCCTGTTAGAAGAGATTACCAAATGATACAGATACCATAAATTACAAAGAAAATTACTTTACCGCACTTAAAAGATTAGTCCTGGTCACATTCCTTTCATTATAGGCATGATTTGTGTTGGAAATCAAAACTTAAGCTCTTCATTGTATTGAGACCCCAACTGTGAGAATGTCAGAGCTTCCCCTGTATTATTGAGACAAATGTGTTTAGTCCGTTTCACAACCAACATATGGGTTTTATTGTTGTCATTTGTGCACTGAGTTTTAAACCATTTGCAAAATATCAGAATAAACTTTATATATATATATATATATATATATAT